ACTACAAACAAACCCGTCCCTGTTCGATCTCGCTTAGTATTCCAATATCCGAAAACTACATCCACACATGTTTAGGTCTCCGCCCAACCTTCTCCTGCTGATTACCCGTACGTCAATAATTCTAGAATCTTGGGTACTTATTTCCCAAATAACATTAATTTACAGCTTACATATCCACCTTCAGATTTTTTCAGAATACCATCGACAATATCCTTGCTGCTCGAAACATATTAGATTTCATATTATTGAATGCTAGGTCTGTAATAAACAAGAGGGCCCAAGTCAGAGCCATTGCTCTCAAAATGACGCCTGATATTATATGTATAACAGGATCCTAGACCCACTCTCTTATCTCTGACTCTTCCCTTCGCATAGATGACTTTGACTTTTTGCGTAAAGACCACAAAATTAGGCATAATGGCGGTTCTCTTCTTTATCGTAGATCCTACCTCAAACGCTCTCCCTATTACCTGAGTGCCTCCTCATTCACAGAAAGCTTCTGTTTAGCATCTATCGCCGCAAAGAAAGGCAGTTATTTGTTGTATCTACAATCCCACAAACTCTTCAGCCGGTGATAGTGCCCAAATCTGTGAAATTTTCAAAGTAGTTTTGGAAGATGCTTTCCATGTTAAAATTATCACTAGAGATTTTAACCTTCCTGAAATAGACTGAGCTTCCAGTATCTGTCCACATAGATGACAACCCTTCCAAGATATTGCCATTTTTTCTAACTGGTCTCAACTTTTGTGATTTCCAAAAAGAGATATCCACATGTTGGATCTATTCTTTACCAGTAGCGTTGCCCCCCCGCCTTGTTTCTTTCAAAAAGGACCTGTCTAATGGCGATCATGTATTACTTCACTGTTGCTCATCGCTCGCCTTTTCAAAGAAGACCAGCACAGTTCCAACCTGCCTAAATTACGATTTGGTGTACAATGACTTAATAAATAACAATACTGGATCCCTTAATTGGCGTGGTTTTCTCTCCTGTAGTGATGCAACCATTCTTCGTGACGTCGTGTCTAATGTTCCAAAGGACATCCTAGAGTTTGTGCCGCGTAGATATATCAAGCCCAGTTCTGCCGATTAACTTGTTCCTCATTTTCTTCGCAACAGACTAAAAACGTTGAGACGGCAGCTACATGACTTATCCACTAGTTCTTTGTCCGTTCATCTTTGAATCACAGAGATTTTTGAACTGACCTCAAGGATGCGCCAAGCGCGTGACAAGCAAAGAGGATCACTTGCTCTCAGTGATACGAACCCTGGAAAATCAGTCGCAACCATTTTTCGGCATCGGCCCTCCTCTAAGCGTGGTCACGAAATTCCACCCCTGCTAAATGATAACAAAATCTTCCTCATCGATAACACTGACAAGGCGGAGTTGTTTAGTGCTTTCTTTGCAAAACACCTTACTATTGAGTCCGAAGCAGTCCCTTTCTTTCGTTCACTTTCAGACAGGACACTGAGTACAATCGATATCTCCTCAGATCTTATTAAGAAATACATAAGTCTTTTGAAGAACTCACTCAGGCCGAGCGTCAACTATGAATTGCACTGATCGTCAACGTTCCTTGTCCTTCAGCCAGAAACACAAGCTGTCGTGGCCCTCAGTAGGAGAAGAACTGTCTAGACACAAGAGATTTTTGTAATAAGATGGGGGATATGAGGGTGGGGGAGCGTATAGTCTCATTGGAAATGGGGATAACGGCGGTCAAAAGGGATTATTAGGCACTTCACTGCTGCGGGTCTGGGATAGGTACTACATGCACTGAAGTCGTCTCCTCAACTCTGTTTGAATCCTCGTTAAGTTCTGTAAGGTAAAGAAGAAAAAGGCTCTTCAGAAGCACAGCACCACAAATCGTCGTTTCGTCCTTTTTGACTTCCCGCCAACTTCGCCGTTGCCTGCCACTACTCACTTCCCTCCTCAGTTGGAGCGCTTTCCGCAGGGCTCGTCGTTAACGTGGACTCTATTATTTCTTCGCTAGTCAATAAGGGTACCTAACTCGGGGGGAGGGGCGATGGGCTTGATATCCTCTGTGGCCGTAGGTTGGCGTCCCCTGTATGGCTTAAGCTTATCGAAATGCTCAGTGAACGTTAGACCGTCAGGGTATGATGCGTCCCGAAGTACGTAAGTGGTGGGGTGTAGAACGTCTACAACTACATATGGTTCTTTCCAAGGATGGAAGAACTTGGCCAAAGTGCTCAGGGGGGGGGGGCTATTGGGCGGAAGCGCCACACTAGGTCGCCTAATTGGTAGGGAGTATCATGTATCCGGCGATCGAAGTAGTCTTTTTTATCTTTCAACGGCTGATCCGAAATGATCTCGTGCAAGGTTGTGGTATGTTTGTAGTAATTCTTGTAGTTGCCACATATAGTCGTCTGGATTGTATTCGTTGGGTAAGGCTACAGACAAGCGGGAGTCTAGCGCTAGGCGGAAGTGGCGTCCGGTCAGCATAAAGAAAGGGACGTATCCCGTCGAGGTATGCTCCGTGGTGCGGTATGCCATCACCACACACGGTAATTGTCTGTCCCAATGGTGGGGGTGGTTCTCCTCGGCAAAGGCCTTTAGTAACTGTGTCAGCGTGCGGTTAGTTCTTTCAACTTGGCCATTGCCTTCAGGGTGGGCAGGGGTAGTTCGCGTCTTATAAATGTCGAGTAGGTCGCACACGTCTTGTAATAGTTTACTGTCGAAATTCGTTCCGCCGCCTGAGTGGACGGACAGGAGCGCTCCGAAGCGGCAGACCCAATTGTTAAATATCGCGGTAGTTACCAACGCGGAGGCTTGCCGTAGGAAGGGTACTTCCTCTGCCCATTTGGTAGAATAATCGACCATTACTAATATACATCGGTGGCTAGAAGTAATGAATGGTAATGGGCCAATGATGTCTAGGCCTAGGCGTTGAAATGGGAAACTGGTAAACATCGGCTGGAGTGGTGCTCGGTGCCGTTGGTGAAGTGCCTCCTTCCTGTTAATTTCTATTTCAAGGTTGCTACCAAGCCACCCAGGCCGCTTGTTCTGCCCTGCAATCGCCAATGTATCGTGATTGTTGATGAGCCGCAGAAGGACATTCTTGAATGACCCTCAGTCATAATTGACATTACCCGTAAATACTGAGCTTCAACCCAGATAGGTTAAGTCTGTTTTCATCTGATTGAAGCCACCCGCCAAACGCTGCGT